CAGGTCAGCCAGGCCTTCGCCAGCCTCCTGGGTAAGGGAGCAGAGTCCTGCAGAGCTGGTCCCCACCCTCCCCACACCAAAACCCAGGGTCCTGCCCCATAGGACAGGCTGAAGCCCTGGGCACCGGCACAGCCAGCCCTGGGAAGGGAGAGGAAGGATGAATAGCAGGGTCCCCTGCAAGGACATTAGCCCAGGGCTCAGCCCTGCAGCTCACCCCAGGACCACCCGCAGCCCATGTGGCAGCAGACCCCAGGGACCTTTCTGCTGCAGATTTGGATTTCCTCCTCTCACCCTTCTCTTCCCCTCCAGATCTGACACCGACCATTCTGGACTGGTTCTCCATCCCCTACCCTGCTTACAGCATCTTTGGCACGAAGCAGGTGCAGCTCACCGGGAAGTCCCTCCTGCCAGTGCTGGAGTCGGAGCAGCCCTGGGACACGACCTTCAGCAGCCCGAGCCACCACGAGGTGACCATGTACTACCCCATGCGAGCCATCCAGCACCAACAGTTCCGCCTCATTCACAACCTCAACTATAAGATGCCCTTTCCCATCGACCAGGACTTCTACATCTCACCCACTTTCCAAGACCTGCTCAACCGCACCAGGGCCGGGCAGCCAACCCACTGGGACAAAACCCTGCACCAGTACTACTATAGAGACCGCTGGGAGCTCTTTGACTGCAGCCTTGACCCCACCGAGAGCCAGAACCTGGCCCTGGACCCCCGCTATGCCCCCATCTTCCAGCTGCTCCGTGCACAGCTCCTGAAGTGGCAGTGGGACACGGGGGACCCCTGGGTGTGTGCCCCCGATGCCGTCCTGGAGGAGAAGCTGAGCCCCCAGTGCCGGCCACTGCACAACGAGCTGTGAGCATCCCCTCTGCCACAGGACAGTCATGAGCTGGGTTTCACATCCTTCGGGGGCACCTCTGCTCTGAATCACAAATGCTGACTGGCTCTGGAGCGTTCAGGGATCCTCGTGCCTTTAATCTCGCCCATAGGAGCCACAGGGATGAGTTGCTCCTCAATAAAGCCTCTGGAGGAGAGGTCTCTCTTTTAACCTGGAGCTGATCACGTCCCCGTCAGCTCCCAGGCAGGGATGGGGGGGGTGTCCCAGCCGAGTGGTGCTGAGCCAGGGCAGGCAGCAGCACAGGGGCATGGACACGGCCTGGGCTGCTCCCAGCAAACAGCAGCTTTATTACAGCTCTCTCGCCCCCTGCATGGATCCCGCTCCCCCAGAGCACAGCCAGAGCTCCCCACAGTCCCTGGCAGGTCACCAGGGCAGCCCTGAACAGCTCTGCTGGCTCACAAGGCACTTGGGTCTTTTT